CGGTGGAGCTCCCTATGGAGCCACGAAACGTGTGAGGGGTGTGCCGAAATGGGTGTGGGTGACGCATGCGGGCGCGGGCACTGGGGCCTTCGGTGGAGCTCCCTATGGAGCCACGAAACGTGTGAGGGGTGTGCCGAAATGGGTGTGGGTGACGCATGCGGGCGCGGGCACTGGGGCCTTCGGTGGAGCTCCCTATGGAGCCACGAAACGTGTGAGGGGTGTGCCGAAATGGGTGTGGGTGACGCATGCGGGCGCGGGCACTGGGGCCTTCGGTGGAGCTCCCTATGGAGCCACGAAACGTGTGAGGGGTGTGCCGAAATGGGTGTGGGTGACGCATGCGGGCGCGGGCACTGGGGCCTTCGGTGGAGCTCCCTATGGAGCCACGAAACGTGTGAGGGGTGTGCCGAAATGGGTGTGGGTGACGCATGCGGGCGCGGGCACTGGGGCCTTCGGCGGAGCTCCCTATGGAGCCACGAAGCGGTGTATTGGGTGGGTGAAGAGGAGAGGATGAGAGGAGGGGAGGAGAGGAGGAGAGGAGAGGAGGCGGAGGAGGAGAGGAGGGGGAAGGAGACGCGGGGCACCGTCTCTTCAAAACGAGGACCCAACACCACAGGATGGTTGGGAACAAATAGGTTTCAAACTCCCCAGGGCGGGACACGCGTGAAAATACGTGGGCTCCTAACGCTCCAGATTGGGACACGTGTGAAAACACATGGTTCCTAACGCCCCTGAGCGGGACACGCGTGAAAATACGTGGGTTCCCAACGCCCCAGAGCGCGACACGCGTGCAATCAAATGGTATCCAAACGCCCCAGAACGGGACAAGCGTGAAAACACTTGGGTTGCTAACGCCCCAGAACGGGACAAGCGTGAAAACCCTTGGGTTCCTAATGCCTTAGAGCGGGGCAAGCGTGAAAACACATTGGTTCCTAACGCTCCAGGGCTGGACAGGCGTGAAAACACATGGGTTCCTGACGCCCCAGAGCTGGACAAGCGTGCAGGCAAATGTGTTCCGAACGCCCCAGAGCGCGACAAGCGTGAAAGCAGATGGTATCCAAACGCCCGAGAGCGGAACAAGCGTGAAACCATTTGGGTTGCTAACGCCCCAGAGGGGGACACGCGTGAAAACACTTGGGTTCCTAACGCCGTAGAGCGGGGCAAGCGTGAAAACACATGGGTCCCGAACGCCCTAGAGCTAGACAAGCGTGAAAACACGTGGGTCCCTGACGCCCCAGAGCGGGACACGCGTGACAACACGTGGTAAACACGTGGGTGTCGAACGCCCCAGGGCGGGACAACCGTGAAATCACGCTGGCTCCAAACACCCCACAGCGGAACGGCGTATGCCCCTCCCCCGTCGGCGCGTCCCTTGGCTCGTCCTCTGTCGCGTTCCCTGGCTTGTACCCTTGTGTTTTCCCTGCCCGTTCCGTGGCGCGTCCTTTGCCACGTCCTCTTACGCGTCCCCTGGCGCATCCCCTGCGTCCCTGGCACATTCCCTGTCGCGTCCATGCGCCTTGCGCCCCGTGTCGTTTTGTTTGGGTTCGGAACTAAGTCAGATCCTGAGCTCGAGCTGATTGAGCGTCCGACACGTTTTGATTGCAACCAGCTTTGGGTCAGCTATGCGCTCAGGCAGCTCGAGCTTAAGATCCAGATCAGTCTGGTCAGGATTCGGATGCCAAAGGCGACTTGATCCACACCACTATAGAGCACCACGAAATTCATCACGGTTTGACGCATCTCATCTCCGCAAGCCACAGTGCAGCACAATATTTGGCTCAGTAAATCACGAGCGATCGATTGAGCATTGCTACTGCCTGTCGCACAATCAGGTGTCTTAAAACCTGGCCATGCCTCGCGTTTCCAAATTCATGTTCGGGTTCGTGTGTCGATCATGTTTGGTCCAATCGGCCACGATCCCATGCTCGGGTCAAATTGCCCCGAGATCTTCGCTCCGTTTTGGATTCCTGGGCCCCCCTGGGCCTCGTGAGGGTTGCTCTGGAGCCCGTGGAGGCCTGCGTGGAAATCCCGGGGGCACCCTGGGCCAGGGGAGCTTCTAGCAACCCCCGACATGCAGCAACTTCACCAGTGTGCGCATGGCCGTGCTCTTGCTGCTGCCAGGATTCTCTGCGGGGCGAGGTGGCGGCCCGGGGGGCTGGGCGAGGGCCTCGGGAGGCAGACAACCCCCACAGAAACCCTCCGTCGCGTTGTTCCCCAGAAAGAGCCTAGGCCCAGGGTTCTCGTTTAGTGCGGTAGGTTCACGGGGCGATGGAGCGCCGGCGACGCCAGCGAAGGCGTTCCAGGTTGATTTCCGCATGATGGAACGACGCGGAAGCACCGAGAGGGGCATGGCAACGCCTGGGGAACCGACGGAATTCGACCTTGAACGATAGGGGCCGCGATCGGTTCAAGGTGGACCGATCGACGCGGCGTTAATAACCTTTGCGCGCGCCGACGCCGCACGAACCTACTGTAGTGTTTCACTGTGCGGGGCCTGACCTTGCGTAGGGACAGAGGGTTTATTTGGCCGGCAAATGATTTATTCGAGGATGCCCCGGGCGAACGCTGGTTGGGGGACTTCCGATTAACAAAACACAGGGTGAAGTGACCATGTTCGTGTGTTGCGGATGTCCCGAGCGAAACGCTTCTGTTGCAGAATTTGTCGAGCGAAATTTTGTTTTGTCCTCTAGATTGCTCTTATCCTGGGGCTCGGATCTTTTGCGTTTAGGCGGGTCGCTAGCGCTTCAATGCGGGACAAGCGTGAAAACACGTAAGTTCCTAACGCCGCAGGGCGGGGCAAGAGTGAAAACATGTGATTTCCTGACGCCCCAAGTTCCTAACACCCCAGGGCGGGACAAGTGTGAAAACACGTGGTCCCTAACACCCCAGAGCAGGACATTTCGTTCCTGGGCGGGACAAGTGTGAAGACAGAAAGGGTCCTAACACACCAGAGCGGGACACGCGTGACAACACGTGGGTTGCTAACGCCCCCGAGCGGTATACGCGTGAACAGAATGAGTTTCTAACGCCCTCATGCGGGACAAACGTGACAACATACGGGTTCTTGACGTTCTTGGGCGGGAAGAGCGTGAAAGCATTTGGGTTCCTAACGCCTTAGGGCGGGGCAAGCGTGAAAACAAGTGGGTGCCTAACGCCCTAGAGCAGAACAAGCGTGAACACATCTAAGTTTCTAACGCCCCAGGGCGGGGCAAACGGGAACACATATGGTTCTTGACGTGAAGACACGTGGGCTCCTAACGCCCCAGAGCGGGACAAGCGTGAAAACACGTGGGTCCTGAACGCCCCAGAGCAGGACAAGCGTGAAACCACATGAGTTCCTAACGCCCAAGGGCTGGGCAAGCGTGAAAACACGTAGGTTCCCAACGCCCCAGAGTGTGACAAAGGTGAAATTACATGGTTCCTGGCGCCCAAGAGCGGGACAAGCGTGAAACCATATAGGTTCCTAGCTCCCCAGAGCGGGACACGTGAAACATACTTTGGATTTCTTAGTAAGCGCGGGGGGGTACACCCCCGACGGGGGTCAACCTCGCCTCGTCGTCGCGCCGCGACGGGGGTCGGAGCGCCTTTGGCGAGCGGTGGCTGCCCGCGACGGGGGTCGATGTGGGGCTGTCGGCGGGGGTGACGCCCCCCCCGACGTTTATTAAGAAACTCGGAGTATGGGTTTCTAGCGCCCCGGAGGGAGACAACCGTGATAACACGTGGGTGTCTAACGCCCCCAGGGCGGGGCAAGCGTGAAAACATATAGGTTCCCAACGACCCAGAGCGGAACGGCGTATGCTCCTCCCCCGTCGGCGCGTCCCTTGGCTTGTCCCCCGTCGCGTTCCTTGGCTTGTCCCCTGGCTGGCGCATCCCCTAGTGCGCCCTCGGGACTCTCCGTGGCGCGTCCATGCGCCTTGCGCCCCGTGTCGCCTCTTCCCGCCTTGGAACGAAGGCGGATCCTGAGCTCGAGCTGATTGAGCGTCTCACACGTTTCGGATTCAACCAGCTCTGAGCCAGCATGCGCTCAGGCAGCTCGAGCTTAAGATCCAGATCAGTCTGGTTAGGATTCGGATGCCAAGGGCGACTTGATCCACACCCTTATAGAACACAACGAAATTCATTGCGGCTTGGCACTGCTGACTCCAGCACAGCACAGCACAATCTTTGGCCCGGCACATCACGACGGATACTTTCAGCATGTCTAGCTGACTGTCGCCCAACCTGTCCTAGAAACGTAGCCACGCCACGGAGTTCTACATCCCTTTCGGGGCTCGTGGGCCGCTCATGATGTTCGCAGTGAGGGGGCAAGCCCGCCTCCCCTCGGCACACGCGCGCGCGCGAGCGCAGAATGCCGCCCCCGAGCCGGCGAGGGCCTCTCGGGCCACACGGGCACCGCGCGCGCGTGGGCCGCGCGCGTGTGGCCGGCGCGCGAGCGCGCGCGAGCACAGCGCGGGCCTCTCGGGTCACGAGCGCCAGCGGCGCTCCCGCCGCCGGGCGCAAACCTGGAAGGGGGCGCCCGCGTGCTCCGCCAGGAGGCGCGCGGGCGCGCGCTGGCACAGCGAGACGCAGAGGAGGAAGACAGCACTTCCTCCACGCAGGAGGGCGGAGTAATGGAGGGTTCGAAGCACGAGAGCCGTGTGAACATAAACCGTCGGAGCTCTGCGCGAATTTCTTGGATCTGCGCTGGAGCCCTCCTGGCGGCGCCTCCGGCGCCGCCTCTGGTGCGCTCCGCGCGCCAGGGAAGGGGGCCCAGCGTGTATCCAAGAAATCAACGGGGATCGTGGAAAGTTTCTGTGCATGCTTTTTTTCTGGGACGATTCTAGGCCGCGAGGGGAGGAGGAGGAGGAGGAGGAGGAGGAGGAGGAGGAGGAGGAGGAGGAGGAGGAGGAGGAGGAGCAGGAGCAGGAGCAGGAGCAGGAGCAGGAGCAGGAGCAGGAGGAGGAGGAGTAGGAGCAGGAGGAGGAGGAGGAGGCTCCTCCACCTCCTCTATCCCCCCCCTTGAGGTGCTCGAGGACCAGGAGGAGGTGGCGCCTGGGGACGCTGCCTCGTGGGCCTCCGCCTGCGGCAGCTACGCCACCAGGACGGGGGGCGGCCCACCGCCGGGCCGCTATTGGGTGCTCGCGCCGGTGGACACCCTGGACACGTTCCGCGCGGACAAGGACACAGCCGATCCCAGGAACAATCCAACTCTTCCTCCTCCTCCTCCTCCTCATCTTCCTCCTCCTCCTCCTCCTCCTCCTCCTCCTCCTCCTCCTCCTCTCGCCTTGAGCCCGTCGTTCCTCGCCCAGCGCCGCCCCGCTCAGCTTCGACAGCAGGCGCGCTCTGACCTTTTGTAACCTCTGGAGGTCTTTTGTTTTGACCCCACCCCCTTTTTTCTCTCGGCGGGTAACAAATTTCTCTTTTTTCTCCTGCTCCTCCTCCTCCTCCTCCTCCTGCTCCTGCTCCTCATCCTCCTCCTTCTCCTCATTATCCTCCTGATCCTCCTCCTCCTCCTCCTCGTCCTCCTCTTCTTCGCCTCTGCCCCGGCTTCGGGGCTTTGCTGGGCCAGGGCATGGGGGGCTGCCGGCAGGGCGGGAGTCCCCGCGCGCGCGGCTCCTCCCGCGGCGCCTCTTCCCTGGATCGTGTGCCTGGTGTCCACCGGCGTTCGCGCCAGTGGAGACCATGGATACGTTCCGCGCAAAGACCAGGACCCTCCCCCAGACATGCTCGCGTCGTAGAAGCAACAAAAAAACACGACGGGAGGTGTCTGGTCGTCTTCGGCCCCGGGCAGCCCTCGCTCGGCCCCGGGACCGTAAAAAACGTTCGGGATGAGAAGTCGGTCCCATGGAATGGGTCGAGACCTCCAGGGGCCCACGTTGCATGTGGATGTTTTTGCAGGACCGAGGTGTTCGGATGTTGTAGTCAGCTCCTGGCGGTTTTCCAGCCTCGGGGTGCTCGCCAGCGGCTGCGCCTCGCTGAGAGCGCTCTGGGGGTGTCCGCATCCTTCCGACCAGCCGCTGGAGACCTGAGTTCTGGCCCGCAGGCCTGGCCCTCTGACGGTGTGGCCTGCTGTAGCCGGCCTCCGAGAGGCCTGCTTCCGGGCCTTCTGGGACCACCAGACATGGGGTCTGGGGCGCAGAGTTGCCCCAGGGAGAGGGACGGGAGCTCTGGGGCCTACAATGGGGGCCCATGCCAAGAAACACCCTGCTTGCCTCCAGGGTGCCCTGGGCTTCTTGGGTTTCGATGGCTTTGCTATGGAAAGCGTGGCGCTCCCACACCAAAGACGAATGGACGTCCTGGGGTCTCAGGGTTGGGGCTCTTGTGGACGGCCCCGACTGTGGTGGGCCCTGGAACTTGCAGAGCCGTTTATACCGCTGCCGAGAAGCTGGCCCTCGCAGATGACAGCGCCCAGCAAAAACCTGCTCAGCGAAGCCGGAACACAGAACGGCCCGAATCGGGGGGGAAACTGCGACGGCCGGTTTCTGGACGTTGTCGGCGTCAAGAGGCCGGGCATGTCTCGGGCGGGGCCAGGACGACGATGAATCCGTTCCGGAACGCTCCGAGAAGGCAGCGGCGCCCGATACATCCCACATCCTCCAGAGCCGCCAGACCTCACATATTCTCGATAACGTCTCCCGGGGACGGTCAAGAAACGGCTGGGGATGAGAAGGTGAGGGGGTCGAGATCCCCAGGGGACCGGGTCAAGATCGAGTGCGGCGACGGAGGTGCGGGGAGAGCGGAGCTCTCAAGACAACGCTTCGACGCGAAGGTGCCGATCGCCGAGCTGTAATTAACGTATGGCCGTTTCCAAGTCGATGTTCCGCCCCACTCCGAAGAGGGACGTCAGGACCCAGACCCCCCTCGGGCCATGGAAAGGTCACGACGGGAGGTTGTTCCATATTTTCGGCCTCTGGGGGCCCTTGCTGGGCCTCGAGACCGTCGAAAAACGACTCGGGATGAAAGACTGGTCCCCGGGAATGGGTTGAGGGTGGCGCAGATGATAGAATATCGTGGTTTGCAATGAATAAAGGATTCCTATTGTAATGGCAACAAGGCCAACTTGCAACAAAGGGCTTGTTGCAAAACCGCTGTTTTGCAACAAACAGCCTTTTTGCAACACCCCAGTTTCGCAACACGTAGAATTTGCACTTCCCCGTTATGTTGCTATCTTGATGATATGAGAGCATGAGTCGAAATGCGGCCAATGCGGGCCAAAACGCCACGTCGGACGAGGGGCTCTTGTAAGTACGTTAAGTACGTTCTGATAAAATCAAGTTGCCCTCCTCATTTTTTCCTCCTCCCACTCCTTCTTCCTCCTTCCTCAGGCTCAGTCGCAACGGCTGCCCCCCTCCCCCCGCGGCCGTGGCGACGTATCCCCGCATCATAGCGTCATGAAGTCATTGACGGGTTGTTTATCCCGCTCGCCCGTATCCCGATCGAGCAATCGACGTACGTAGCATACATCATCATCATTATCATCATCATCATCATCATCATCAGCATCATCATCATCATCATCATCATCATTAACCGTCTGGAGCGTATTGGGCCTCTTGGGCCGTCTCGGAGACGTATTGGGCCGTCTTGGAGGCCGTCTTGGAGACGTATTGGGCCGTCTTGGGCCGTCTTGGAGACGTATTGGGCAGTCTTGGCGCCTTCTTGGGCCGTCTTGGAGACGTATTGCGTCCTGTCCCTGTCCATTGGTCGAACAGCTATAGACACTCGGCACGAATAATTTGCGGCTGCACATGCATGAGTTTCCTTGCAGATCGCCTCGGCGACGAGGCCGTCGCCGGCGTGCCCGCGCCAGATGTTGAAAGCAGAATTGTTGCTTGTTCACGCGTTCCAGCCAGGGCCAGGGCCAATGACCCGCAGAGACAGAAAACGATTCCTGTGAAAAAGGCTGCGGTTCGCATCCCGAATCATTCAAAGAATCAGCGTTTCAAGCACCCGTCTCGACGGACCCACGAGGAGTGGAGGCGCTATAGCCAGATGATGCATTTGCGGAGGGCCAAAAGTATCACCCAACGGGCTGTGGACAGACACGTAGAAAATGTTACGTCTATTCTTAACCATTCCCAGGTCAATGTGAGGGCGGCCATAAATTTTCAGAGCAGCAACAAGCAGGGCGATTTGAGTATTGTGATTGGTTTGGCTTTGAAAGGTCGGCAGCGTTTCACTGTTAAGCAAATGACGGAATTGCTTTTGGAGAAGACGCCATGCCACAAAGCTCTCGCCCGCACTTGGTCTTGCGACCCCAGGACCGCGAGGCGAGTGAGAGACGTCGTGGCTGAGGCGTACTTAGCGACAGAGGTTATGATGTGGGGGTGGCTTCTTAATTGTCTTCGGGCGAGGCCTCCAGATTGGTGCGTGCGGAGTTGTTTATGGGACGAGACTGGTCAGCGCCTGGTGTTGGCACCCGTCGCGGAACTGGGGAGCTCCAGCCAAATGGCGACGTGGCAAGTGCTTGTCTCGCGCATTCGTTTCGCTTGGGGTTGGTTTTCCCCTGGGCGCCCGACCTCCCAGCACCCCGTCATGAGCTACGAGCCCGTCATGCCGCCCATTCCCTTGATTTCCAATGCTGCGCCTCATATTTACAGCGGCCTGTTCTTTCACGCGCTGACTGCAGCGGCACATCGATTCATGGAAGAGTTGGCACGCCTTTCAAAACATGTGTTCAAGATTTACGAAAGTGATGCTGCCACGGCGAACGAGAAAATGTTTGCGCACGTACGGGATGTGAGCAGCGCGCATTTGCTCTGCGGCAATCACGCCAACCACCTCGGAGAGATGCAATCCGTCGCCATATCGATGTACGAGCGTCTTGGTTCCAAGTCTTTGAACGGATTGAACGACCTCTACAGTGCAATTCTCTTCTTCCGATCGCAAGGCCACTTCCTTCGGCTGATTTGCAGCGTCAGGAAGGCAGTCGATGATATGGTATTGATTCGCGTCGGCCCTCCTCCACCAGAGGCCCGCTCGTATGCGGCCGCATTTCGGTCGTTCTTGGAATGCGATTATCGGTTCACCCAGTCCTCCTCTCGATCAGAGAAGGCCTTGGCCGCCTTGAGGCAGCAGTACGATTCGTTTTTCAGTCTGTTCAACGGTCGGCTCTGGCTTCGGGGCATCCTGGAAGTGTTCGATGACGGCGGGCGCCTCTCCAGGGAGGATGTTGTCAACACAGGTGCCACCGCTGTTCTGAACATGCTCTTCCCGCATCTGCCCGCGGTGCCCTCCCAGGGGAAGTGGGAGAAACTGTACCCCGCCCTTGCCTTCTTCGTGAAGTCGTTTGTGTTCGGCGGCATACTGTCCTCGATAATGCACTCATCCTTCGACGCGGCAGAATTTCGAGAAACCAGTTCAGCCCCCGAGCATGAGATCGCGAAGATCGACCCGTCGCTGCGCGAGTCGTTCCAATGGGTGGCCACCCAGGGCACCAGGTGCAAGCGAGCGGATCGCGTTGTCAGCGATTCTTGGTTGAATTATGTGTTCGTTTGTTTGTGCGTTGCAATGGAACCTACGAGGTGCCCCACTTTGTGGTTCATGGCAGCATCTAATAAAGTTCGGTCGTTCGCTGGGTATCCGCCATTGATGGATTTGTTGTATGAGCCAGCGGGCCCCTTGATATGGTGCCTGCAGTACCTTTCCTCATGTGTTAGAGGTGATACCACGCGGTGCAGACTATTGCAAAGACAGCGTGCCTCGCGCGCAGTCTGGGTCACGACCTGCCCGACGGAGGCGCGCCTTGCACGACGACTGCTGATGCGCCAGATCGGCCAGATCGAGATGCGACACGTTCGCAAGTATGCCGCAGCACCGTGGCGATGTTGGACGTTTTGCGACCCTCGGCGGCCGGTTGAGGAGCGCGACAGCATGATCTCTGCTTTCAAAGATTCGAATCCTTGTTGTTTGCCAGATGGGTTATCTCGTACCCTGGCGAAGTTAAACTTCAAAGATTTTGCCGTGGCTGTGATGATGTACACTATTGCTTGGTTCGCGTGCTTGTCGCTCCACTGCATCGAGAGACTGCGCGCTCGGAACAGGCGCTCCAGCTGCCCCCAGGTGGCTTGGCATCGTTTCGCCGCCGACTTCGTCGGGGCCGAGGTCAACGCGAGCGCCAGGCACCGCGGGGCCGTCGGCGACCAGGTCGCCAGCGCCGCTGGCTGTGGCGGCGCTGTCGCTGCACGCGCTGCGGAGCAAGCGCGCTTGCCCAAGAAGATCGGGCAAAAGCGCCAAGCAGATTTTTCGGAAACAGTGGCTTGCCGATCAGCGCGCCCTGGGCAACTGCTACGCTGGGCACCAGGGGTGGGACGAATGCAACCAAGCGTTCGGTCAGTTACCCGAGGCCGACCGTGCCATCCTAGAGGCGCGGTCTGTTGCCGCGAAGCATGTCGCGGCCACCGAGCACTCGCTGGGCCAGCTCGCGATTGGCGATGCCCAGGCGCTCGACGCTGGCATGGGGGTCGCGGGCCATTGGAAAGAGCAGGGCACTGAGCTGGGGGAGAGGGGCCATAGGAGGTCAGGACGATTAGCAGATGGATGGGAACGCTTCACGGGGAGGAGGACGAAGAGGATACGAGGAAGGACTAGGTGGATGAGTATTGAGAAGACGGGTGGCAGGAGAGTGGAATCATGTTGATGATGATGACGACGATGTCCGATGTCAGTGACCATTGCCATGGCGGATACGCGGTGGTGCCGATGACGGCGGTGATGGTGACGATGACGACGACGACGTTTACGATGATGCCCGCTACGATGGCCACGGATATGGTGATGATGACGGTGAGGATGCTGGTGCTGATGGCGATGCTGGTGATGATGATGATGATGATGATGATGATGATGATGATGATGGCGATGATGATGATGGCGACGAGGTGATGCTGATGGTGATGATGCCGACGAGGCCATGATGATGACGGCGATGCTGATGGTGATGGTGATGACGACGATGGTGGTGATGATGATGATATGGGGCGTCCAGAGGGGAGGCCGCGCGGCCGCTTGAGGCCTGCCTGGAGGAGCCCATGGGCACCCTGGGGGCATCTTGGAAACAACGCAGCATAGCAATCTGCTGATGTAGTGGGTCGTCCTGGAGGTCATGCTGCCGCCTTGGGCCCTTCCAGGACCAGAAACAGCGCACTGGATTCCAGTGCGCCCCACCGCGGGCGGTCTTGGGGAACTTTGGGCGTTCTTGGGCCCCACGCGGGGCGTCCCGAGGCCATATTGGACCCCTCCAGGACCAGAAAAAAACAATGCATTGGATTCCAGTGCACCCCACCGTGGGCGATCTTGGGCATCTTGGGGCTTTCTCGGGGCCCGCGCGGGGCGCCCCGACGCCGCCCCTCGACCCTCTTGGGGGTGCCCCCGAGACCTTTTGGCCGCCCAGCGGGGGCCAACTTTAATGGGGGACCCCTGGACTCCGTAGGCTCTCTTTCGGTTCCCTCCCTCCCTGCTTCGCCCCCCCCCCCCATCGCTCCCCTACTCTCGTTAGGGCAATGTGTGCGTCTTTATGGCTTTGGGAAGCAGCGACCCTGCCGCGCTTGGGCGCCCCGCCCTTCGCGCGCCCCGCCAAAGGTTGTCGCTGCTGGGGAGCTTGGCCCGCGCGGTCGTCGTGCAGGAGAGACTTCGGCAGAGTTCACGCCGCTGTCGCCCGTCCCTGGGGCAGCCCTTGCTGTCGACGATTGGCTCCTAGATAGGGCGCAGGGTGCTGGGGGCAAGCCGTTGGTTGAATTTCCAGATTTGCGGCAGGTCGGCCGTGGGGCGCCGCTGCACGAGCGGCTTTCAGCATATTTCAACGGGCACGTCGGTGGCAAAGCGGTTCGCTTCTCAGATGCGGAGTCCTCTTTCAAGGCTCGCGTGGCGCACACGCCGCCGATGTCAAAGGTGGCCTCGTTCCCAGCGACGGTCAAGTATGAGCCTGCCTGTCGCTCCTCTTGCGAGACCAACACTGGCCCTGACATGTTGGACTTTAAGCGAAGATTGTCTGCATCCTTCCGAGAGTTCGGGCGAGCAGTGAGCCCTGACCGCAAACTAGCATTGTTGCCAGTCGCAGACGCCGTGGTCGTGCTTGAAGTTTGGGCAGCGGCGTCGCCAACCCCTCGGCTTGTGTGGGGGGCTTGGATTGCTGCTAAAGACGCATATTTCATTCACCCTGCAATGGTGATGTTCAACGTTCTTCACATGGCAGACGTGCGGGAGGAGGCTTTCTATTTCAATCGTCGGTATGTTGGTTGTCAACTGCGCCCTGGTCGCACGCTGTTTGTCGAGCCACGTGTTAAAAGCGACGTGCCCGTGCCGCTGGATGAGGGTGCCCATGGCAGGCTGGAAGTATTCGACGACGATGAGCTCACCACACTGCTGTGCACCGACGTGTGGAATGACTCCGACGCTGCAGTTGAACGCATCGTGCACGCCCCATTGGAATGGCGATTTGACCCGCAACCGGATGAGCCTGATGCTATTGTTGTTGTTGGCGTCCATGTTGATTATGGGGAGTATACCATTCATGCGACGATGGAGGCCGATGGGCCAGGAGGCGCCGATGTTCCAGGTGATGGCGGCGGCGGCGGCGACGGCGCCGCTGCCGATGGCGGCGGCGACGGCGCGTTCAGCTTTCTCGCAGATCGGCTCGCGGAGGTGAAGCAGAGCAAGAAACATAAGAAGTGTGGCCCTGCTGCGACTTGCGCAAGCCAGCAACCTGCCGTCATCGAAGTTACCGCATCTGATGCCATGGAGAACGAGCCTGACACTCTCATCGGGAACGTCCCAATCGCACTCATTGACGCTTCTGGCTTCGAGCATGTAGACGAGCTCAAGAGGCTTGATCGCGAGGCGACGCAGTTGCTCAAGTCCGAGGTGCAGGAGTGGGGGGGCCACGAGGAGCGAGACGGCGCGATGTTCGATGATCCGTCCAACGTGGAGCCGCAGCCCGTGGAGATGGGCCTCCCTGTTGGCATGGCCTCAGCCTCGTCCTCGTCCTCGTCCTCGTCCTCGGGGGCGCATGGCGCGCTCCCCAGCTACCTCGTGATTGGAGACGTGGATGCGACGATACAGCGGCTTGGGCTTACCAGAACGCCTCAGCCCGTCGGTAAAGGCACCGCTTTCGAGAACTCCACTGGCGTTTCAGTCGGGGCTTTGTACGATATAGGCGACACGGGCTTCAAAGCATTTGGTGGGTGCCACGGTCGAAAATGTGCATTGTGGATAGACGTCGGAACGGTTGGCGCCGCGTCCGCCCCCCTCCTACACCTCCCCGCGAGGGTGCATCACTGAGACTGCCCTGGGGGTGCGCACTCGGAGTTTGCATGGCCCTCAGGGGCCTTGCGGCCAGGGCTACACTAAGTCATGTTAGAGTTCAGGCGCTAGCGCGCTACTTCAGGGGGGGGGGGGGGGGAGCAGATGGCGATAAGCGACGGGGGTGACGATGATGAAGGGACTGGGGAAGAGGAGGGGGCGCAGGATGAGGAGGAGCATCAGGATGCGGATGAGGGTCACGATGAGGATGGGGAGGGGTGATGGGGGAGGGCGAAGGAGGAGGCGGCGGAGGATGGTGAGGATGAACATAACAAGCATGCCAGCATGCAGCATGCCCGAATCGGGCGCGGATCGTCAACAGGCATGGCGTTCAGTTGAGGGCACCAGGCGCCGTTGTTTCACGTTCCTTGGAGTGGCTCGCTTTGGGCCCTGGGATGTCCCACGAGGAGCACTATCAAGAGAGCGTCCGAATTCGCCAGTCCTTTGGCATGACTGTGCGCAAGAAGACCTTGTGACTGACTGACCTACGGCAAAAAAAGGTCGAACGATATCGGGGCTACATTGAGCCGTCGTGGACCGACCTTGGTCTCATGCCGCTTGGGAGGCATGCTGGGGCCAATACTTCCCAAATTCCTATTGGGGCCGTCTTGGAGGCCATCCTGGGCCATCGTAGCCGCATAGGGTGCCATATTGGACCGTCTCGGGGCCTTCTTAGCAGTTCATCGTGGGCCCGGGGCCTGGCTGGAGAGGAAGGGGGCCTTGGAGGGTCGCCCTGGGCTCTCGTGCTCAGTCAAGTGTTCGTCGTGCGTGTCTTATTACCTCGGCAGGAACTTTGCCCACCTGTCGTTGAACCAGGGCTGGCGGATATGGTGCCTCATTACCTCGACAGGAACTTGGCCCACCTGTCGTTGAACCAGGGCTGGCGGATTTGGTGTCTGATTTCCTCGGCAGGAACTTGGCCCGCCTGTCGTTGAACCAAGGTGGGCGGATCTGTCGAGCCGTCTCACTCCGTTTGGGAGACCTGGCATGCGGGCAGCACGCTTTCAGCCTTTCAGTTTCACTCGCATTCACACTCGGCCACTTTCAGACTCAATCATCCATCATAGTCAGATCCACATTCCGACTCATTCAAGTTCAGGCTGGATCATACTCGGGCCCACCCACACTCAGCCCCACTTACACTCGGACTTACTCATACTCAGACCCACGCATGCTCACATCCAATCGAACTCATATTAGCTCACAGTCGCAGTGCCCATATCGAGGCTTCCGCCAACAACGACACCAATCGGCCGCCGTCCTCTGTCTCTGCGGCGGGGCGGTCTTGGGTATCTGGAGGGGTCCCGTCTGGGGGGGCCTCGGCTGGGATGGCTCCTGCTGCCGCTGGGATGGGGTCGGCTGCGGCTGGTTGCTGGGCTGGGGCGCTCTGGGGTGCGCCTGCCCGCAAGGGCGAGGCTGGGGCCCCCGAGGTCCTGGGGCATGGGCCTCTCAGGAGGGGGCCATGAGGGCCGTGCTCAGTCAAGTGCTCGCCGTGCGTGTCTTATTACCTCGGCAGGAACTTGGCCCACCTGTCGTTGAACCAGGGCTGGCGGATATGGTGCCTCATTACCTCGACAGGAACTTGGCCCACCTGTCGTTGAACCAGGGCTGGCGGATTTGGTCTTACCACCTCGGCAGGAACTTGGCCAGCCTGCCGTTGAACCAAAGCTGGCGGATCTGTCGAGCCGTCTCACTCCGTTTGGGGGACCTGGCATGCGGGCAGCACGCTTTCAGCCTTTCAGTTTCACTCGCATTCACACTCGGCCACTTTCAGACTCAGCCATCCATCATAATCAGATCCACATTCCGACTCATTCAAGTTCAGACTGGATCATACTCGGGCTCACCCGCACTCAGCCTCATTTACACTCGGACTTACTCATACTCAGACCCACTCATGCTCACATCCAATCGAACTCATATTAGCTCACAGTCGCAGTGCCCATATCGAGGGTTCCGCCAACACCGACGCCAGTCGGCCGCCGCCCTCTGGTGTCTCTGCGGTGGGGCGGTCTTGGGTATCTGGAGGGGTCCCGTCTGGGGGGGCCTCGGCTGGGATGGCTCCTGCTGCCGCTGGGCTGGGGTCGGCTGCGGCTGGTTGCTCGGCTGGGGCGCTCTGGGGTGTGCCTGCCCGCAAGGGCGAGGCTGGGGCCCCCGAGGTCCTGGGGCCTGGGCCTCTCAGGAGGGGGCCATGAGGGCCGTGCTCAGTCAAGTGCTCGCCGTGCGTGTCTTATTACCTCGACAGGAACTTGGCCCACCTGTCGTTGAACCAGGGCTGGCGGATATGGTGCCTCATTACCTCGACAGGAACTTGGCCCACCTGTCGTTGAACCAGGGCTGGCGGATTTGGTCTTACCACCTCGGCAGGAACTTGGCCAGCCTGCCGTTGAACCAGGGCTGGCGGATCTGTCGAGCCGTCTCACTCCGTTTGGGGGACCTGGCATGCGGGCAGCACGCTTTCAGCCTTTCAGTTTCATTCGCATTCACACTCGGCCACTTTCAGACTCAATCATCCATCATAGTCAGATCCACATTCCGACTCATTCAAGTTCAGGCTGGATCATACTCGGGCTCGCCCACACTCAGCCTCATTTACACTCGGACTTACTCATACTCAGACCCACTCATGCGCACATCCAATCGAACTCATATTAGCTCACAGTCGCAATGCCCATATCGAGGCTTCCGCCAACACCGACGCCAGTCGGCCGCCGTCCTCTGGTGTCTCTGCGGTGGGGCGGTCTTGTGTATCTGGAGGGGCCCCGTCTGGGGGGGGCCTCGGCTGGGATGTCTCCTGCTGCCGCTGGGCTGGGGTCGGCTGCGGCTGGTTGCTCGGCTGGGGCGCTCTGGGGCTGTAATGTTGGCACGCTCCTCACACGCTTCGTGGCCCCACGGGGGGCTCCACCGAAAGTCCCAGTGGCGCAGTCCGCTTGGCGGCGCCGCCCCTCAGTTTTCGGTCGGGGGTGAGTCGTTCGGCCCCCTCGCTTCCCTGTCGGAAGTGAGTCGCTCGGGCCCCTCAGTTTTCGTTCGGGGGTGAGTCGTTCGGGCCCCTCAGGTCTTGGTCGGGGGTGAGTCGTTCGGGCCCCGTCGGTTCTCGGTCGGGGGTGAATCCACCGAACGCGATACTAACAACGACGGCGTTTACAACTGCATATGGTTGGGTCCTTCGCCAGGCTAATTTTTCATGGCACCACCTGGGGGGCCCCACCTAAGGCCCAAGTGGCAGTGCTGACATGTGGGCGTCGCCCCCATCTTGGCCCGCCCGTCACACGCTTCGTGGCCGCATAGGGAGCTCCCCCGAATACAGGTCCCACAGTTGTGTTACTCAGAACTGCATATGGTTGTGCCCTTCGCCATGATAATGTCGCGTCTCGCTGGCGCAGCATCGTCGTTAGGTGATGGGCCGTCGAGCTTGCCGCGTCGCTTCTTTGGCATCGCGACTGCGGGTCGTATCATTGAACGAGTTCGGCTTCGCGTTCAATTACGAGGCCAACCTTGCTTCTCTTTCTTGCAGCATGTGGAAGCGAGTGCATGTCGGGGTTCGGATCGTCGTAATGAGCGCATCGCAGTGGATTGGACGGAGTGGTCGGGCGGGTTAGCATGTTTGCGGGCGGCACGTTGTCGGCGGGGAGTTGGCGGTCGCGCGTTGGTGCCGCCCCGCATCCATTTCGACCCCCCAGCACCGCTCAATTTTACCGCGCGCAGAGGCGCCGCGACGAGTTCGCAACACCAACCAAGTTTCGCAACAGTTCCGCAACAGTTTCGCAACACCAGCCCAGTTTCGCAACAGTTTCGCAACAGTTTCGCAACAATTTCGCAACAGTTTCGCAACACCAGCCCAGTTTCGCAACAGTTTCGCAACAGTTTCGCAACAGTTTCGCAACAGTTTCGCAACAGTTTCGTAACACGGTGTCAGCGTTGCAGCAGTGTTGCGTTTTCCTAGGCTTTTTGATACAATTCGATGCCGCATCGCCCATGTCGGCACGCGACGGTTTCGCAACAGTTTCGCAACAGTTTCGCAACAGTTTCGCAACACCAGCCCAGTTTCGCAACAGTTTCGCAACAGTTTCGCAACAGTTTCGCAACACCAGCCCAGTTTCGCAACAATTTTC